TTTGTAGAGCTTGCACTTGACTGTTCTGTTGGTGGTGTGTTAGGACGGAGCTTTGCCGGTTCAGTGGTGCCAAGATATACCCAGGGAAAGGCACCAGATTCGTTCGTTCTGATTCTCAGGTGAACTTCAACCCAGTTCTGATTTATGCGATTGATATGTTGTTCTACTGGCAATAAAACTGTGATCTTCTTCAATTTCAGGTCTTCCTCTTTTCCAATTCGAAATGCAAGAGGTACTTCCACAACCGTCTGAAGCCATCCAAACTTACATGGACAGCAATGTATAGGAAGCAACACAAGAAGGTGAGTGTTAGCATTGTTGACACAATTTTATATTTTAATTTCGAAATCTGACATAAGAACGTTACTGTCATCAAAATCATGTTATTATTAATGTTTGGCATCTAATTTCATCACTAGTGTCTATCTTCTAAAAGTTTTTCCAAATCAGATGATTAGCATTAAGGGACGAAAGCTACTAATTTCTATATATTTTTTATTGTTCTGCTGCCTATTCTCATATTAGTTTGATACTGAATGCATATAAATTTAGGACATTGCCCAAGAGGCTGTGAAGAAGAGGAGACGCACACAAAGAAGCCTTACTCCAGATCCATTGTGGGTGCCACCTTAGAAGTTATCCAGAAGAAGAGGAGTGAGAAACCCGAAGTTCGTGATGCTGCCAGGGAAGCTGCTCTCCGGTGTGTGGCCTTTTTTCATTTCACATATTTGTCATTGATGATTTTGACAAGTAATTGGTTTGTGTGTTTATGGAGATGTTAATTCTTTTCAGAGAAATCAAGGAAAGGATCAAGAAAACCAAGGATGAAAAGAAGGCGAAGAAAGCAGAAGTAGCAGCAAAGCAACAGAAAACACAGGGCAAGAGTAACATTCCAAAGGGTGGCGCACCAAAAGGTCCCAAGCTTGGAGGTGGTGGTGGAAAGCGATGAGCTTGTTCTCATCTAGCCATCTAAATAGGTAGTACCTTCATTTTGAAGGCATTCGTACGGACTGAATGGCCATATCATATTTTTGCTTTTATACTTTTATCTTGTACCTTTAACTTTGTATTGGATTTGGTGACCATTCTTATTTTAATAATGTCTCGACTATTAAAAGTTATAAAATGGATTAACTATAGGACGTTGTTTTGTTGAGTTTACCGGCTATTAAAAGTTATAAATGGTCATTCAACTATTCATATGTTTCAAACTCATCATTTCTCGTTAAAAAAATAATGGCCGTCTGAGCTAAGACATTAATCTGCTAATTGAGATATGATAAAACTATATTTAATAATGTCTATTGGTATCACCATTGCTTTCAAACAATGGCTCGACGGTATAATATTTCAAATACTAATGTAAACACAAAAATAATCCATAAATACAACTCAAACGGTTCTCAAATCAGATTTTATCATAAGATCCTTTCAATAGGTTAGTGTTCAGCTCAGACGGTTGTCAATTTTTTTAAAAAAAATAGACGAGTTTAGAACATATGAATAATCAAGTTTTGTTGTAACTTTAATAGTTGGAGGAATCAACAAAGCAGCGCCTATAGTCAAGATCATTTTATAACTTTTAATAGTTAATGGATTCAACAAAGATCACTCTATATCGAAACACCATTTATATAATTCATACTATAATTTAATCAATCAACCGTTAAATCCCGTAACGTATGTTAACATAGCCTTTGATCCATCATAATAAAACTCACTTTTGTCCATTTCAAGTTTTCATTAGCCTCCTTCGCCATCAACCTCTTAAGTGGTTACTACGACTTTGGTCCAACTACTACATTACTGATGATTAACATCTGTGAGAACTATCTAATAATTTATTAACAATTTCATAACTATTGATGATTTTTACCATAAGGTTTAGGGTTTAATAATGATTCAATAATTTAATAATTATTCAAAATTAAAATGATGAACAAACTGATTGAATTTTTAAATATTGAATATTTATTATTAAATTAAAAATTAATTTTGAGAACTAAAATTATTATTATATCATATTACATCAGTATTTTCGATGAATTAATTATCAAGCCTAATGAAATGTGATCAAAATAAAAATAAATTTAAACAACAGTTTACAAACAAATTTAAAGAAATCTAACACTATCAAAAAAGAAAAACAATGTATATATTTAATGTTAAAATACAGTGAAAATTCCACTTATTCTACACAGCCCAAACAAGTCCTTAACAGATTCTGGATTGGGTCATTGGGCACCCTCATCATACCCAGAAGAATTGTAAGGTGGGAGAACCACATGAAACAACATTCCTCTATCTATATGTATATGCTAAAATCAAATCCTTTAATCTTAAAACCCTCACTCTCCATACATTAATCTTAGTTTGGACCAGCTCTAAATTATAATCTCTTTTTTTTCAACTTGAAATACGATTTAGCCTAACAACCTATTAGCCAAGCGGGTGTGGTGTCAGTCTCGTGTTACCCAAAATTGCAACACCACTTCCACTTGTCCATATTTAATCAAACCATATGGGAACAACACCCTTAAAGGCTCCCTGCCCCATTAAACCATAACGTAGGATTCTGCACAGATGTCTAAATCCCACATGACAAACCAACCACAACGCCTCTCTCAAATATTAAATGATCTTTATGGATGCATACTACTATCAAAGGACAATTTCAACCATAAGTGACACATCAAAACCTGGTGGCTCAACTTCTATGGCATTCAAACTACAAACAAACAGCCTAACACCTGAAACGTGTTTCCGGGTGGTCCGTCCGGCAAGAACTCCTTTCCTGTTGCTCACAGCTGTAATACGACTCCAGGGACTGACCTTTCGGTAAAAGAGGACAATCGGACTAAGTTCATGGTTTCCACTGGCAATGCAACTTCACAGTTATAACAACTTTAGAACCAACCAATTATGACACAACATATTCAAATATCAAAGCTGGACGAGAGTGTCCAAGTTTCGCAATTTCATTTTCTTCTGTCAATTTCTAATACCATATGCAAATCTATGCATTTTAATATGCAAATGGTTGGCCAAATCGTCAAGGAAAAAGCAGGGATATGCAAATGAAGTCAACATATAGAAACCAATGTTTAACCGACCATAGCAACCTCATTAGACTTTATTTTCCTACGAGAATGGGCACGGTAGACTTACAGGTACAGGTACAGTTGAAGACAATTTCCAGAATCACTATTTTAACTAAACTAGATGAAAACAGTGAATCCGTACATGATCCAACACCCAAACAACCACAACCCACAAATTTCATAATTTATACCAACATTCATTATGGTATAACTGCTGAAAATAAATTAACAAATATTGCAACAGAAAAAGTTCATAGAGATCAGAATAGAGAAAACAACGTTTCTCCTACCACCAATAAGCTTTTAAGCATAAAGAAACGATGAAGGCGACAACATTGTGTTGATAAGGATATAAGAAAGAAACTAGATTATCTCATTTGCATGCAAAGGTGTAAAAAAGGAAACAAAACTGGGTCACATACTACTACCCGAAAACCAATTATGCCGAAATCCTCTAAAACAACAAATGCCTTTAGAACTATAAGCTGTACGTGAAACCCCACATGAGATTTTCAGGGATGGTGATGACGACAATCTCCTATATGTTTCTGGCTATTTCAAAGTCCCTCTTCTTTTGCGCTCATTTAGGTCAGTGGGAATAATAAATACAGAATCTACACAAAGCCCTCCTTTAGAATGTGTGCAATCTATCTGTTTCACAGAAAATCTGACTTCCGTTGTTGGTTCTGATCCACTGACCATAAATTCCCTTACCTTGTAGTCTATTCAGTATCCACGCTAATGGTTCCCATTTTCATAATCTTGTTCAGTATCGTCTAAATAGTGTTCACATGATGCTAGCTGACCATCAGAAGTACACAACTCAAATTTCACGGGCTTTATGTCCCAACCATGGGTGTGCTCGAAACTAGACACCTGTCTCCCCAACCTTTATGAAAATCTTCAAAGGTGAAGCCTGAATGAGAGAGTATAGATATCAACTGGACGAGGGAACTTTACTACTCCATCTCTTTATTTAACTAGTTTTCTGTGTTTAGGAAAATATCATTATTATGTGTTTAGTTTATAATTTTGGTTGTTAACCTTTATAGTAATTTGAATATTTTCTATTTTTAAAAAAAGTTTAATTTCATATTTTCAGTTTTATTTATTAAACATGATTTTTAATTTCCAAAAAATAGGAAAAAATATTTTCAGAAATTTCAACTACTATAGGTTTTGCAATTTTTAATTCCATACACTTTCTAATAATTAATTAATTTTATTTAACAATGTATTAATCTTTTTTTAATTTTTTAACAGATATTAATAATAATAAAATAAAATTTAGGGTTTAAGATTAAATTATAATCTAGAACTTAGAATTAGAGTTTTAATATTTATGATTTTTAGTATAGGATGATTTAGGGTTTGGTAAGATTTGGTTCTTAACCGCTTATTGATGTATGACGTCCTTCTTGAGACTAAAAAAATACTAAAGCCATGTATTATAAGTAGATAGTTAAAAATGTATTTTTATGATTATCCTAATTTAGTTTAAATTCTTAAAAATAATTTAGATTTTTAAAAAAAAATATTTTTTAAATAAAATTAATTGACAGCACACACCAGACACTAGTTATACATTAATTATTCACATTATTTAGATATTGTTTATTATATTTATTAAAAAAAAATAAATATAAATGAAAAATATATTTTATTGGTATAATATATAATATTGTAGAGTGTATGAGTATAGAAGTCATTTTGGCACCTATTTTTGAACATTCCTGTGGGTTTGAAAAGGCATGTATTTTTAGTAATAATATAAAATGCCGCCTACAAGCCGAAACCATGGGCTACCATACCACAGCACCATGAAAATTTAACACTTTCCCAACCTTAACAAAACCGGCTACTCGGCTCTCTGAATGCTTTGCTTTGCTACCTCTCTCAATCTTTTGCCATATAAATCTCTCCACCTTTCTTTTCTTTTGCTTTTCTCTGTTGCCTTATTCAAAATTCTTATAACCATCCGCAGCCTTTTCTTTCTTTGTAATTTTCGTTGGTGTTGAAGAAGAAGCTCTCAGCTTTATGTGCCTTCTGATTGTTACAACTCAGTTGCAGCCAGTTATTTACTGGGTATGTCTCTCTTTCTATTTTTAACGCTTTTATCAATAGCTTGTTAAGAATTTAAGGGGGGAGGAGGTGTTAAATAGTGTTCAATGACATGTTTGAGATCTCCAATAATTGTTGTAAAAGCTGTGGGGTTTTTTTTTGGTTATTCTGAATGGAAACTAGTGGTTTGTGTGGTGGGGTGTTTTCTGGGATTGGTTCAGGAATGTTAGGCCTTGAAATGCCATTACACCCCCAACATCATCATCACCATCATCAACAACAACAACCTAGAAAGCCCCAAACTACCCAAAACTTGTCCCACTTGCATAACACCCCACAAATGGTTAGTTTTTCCCATCATGAAACTGACCACTCACTGCACCAGCAATCGGTTAAACGAGGCTACCCTTGTGGTTCCAAATCCAAACAACAATCCCCTATGAGTGATGAAGATGAACATGGTTTTAATCCTGATGATGCCAAGAGAAAGATTTCTCCTTGGCAAAGGATGAAATGGGCTGATAGCATGGTTAGGTTGCTTATAATGGCGGTTTATTATATTGGTGATGAAGGTGGATCAGAAGGGAATGGATCGGACCCCAGCGGGAAGAAAAAAATTGGTGGTTTTTTTGCAAAAGAAAGGGAAATAGAAGTCGGTTTCCAGGGCTATGATGGAGAAAGGGTTTTATGTTTCACCACAACAATGTGAAGACAAGTTCAATGATTTGAATAAGAGGTATAAGAGGGTTAATGATATACTTGGTAGAGAAACTGCTTGTAAAGTGGTGGAGAATCAAAGCTTGCTTGATACCATGGATTTGTCTCCCAAAATGAAGGAAGAAGTTCGGAAGTTGTTGAATTCTAAGCACTTGTTTTTCAGGGAAATGTGTGCTTATCATAATAGTTGTGGCCATGGTGCAACAGCTGGTGCTAATCAGTCGGCAGAGGTGGCTACTGAGATATCCCAGATTCAGCACCAGCAAGCTCAACAACAACAACAATGCTCCATTCGTCGGAAGCTGCTCAAATATTGATATCGGGAAATTCAGGTAGAATCGAGACAGAGGCATCGAAGTTGGCTAAAGTAGGCAGTGAAGATGAGGATGACGATGATGACGACGAGGCAGTGGATGGTCACTCAAGGGGATACAATGGACATGGGAAGGAAGATGATGAAGATAACCACGAAAAGCCTTCACATAAAAGGGCAAGAAAGGGAACATATGTGGTGTCACCAACGCCATTGATGCAACAATTGAGCTGTGAAGTTGTGAACGTGATACAAGATGGGTCGATGAGTGTTTGGGAAAAGAAGCATTGGATAAAAATGAGGCTAATGCAATTGGAAGAGCAACAGGTCAGCTACTAATACCAAGCATTCCAGCTGGAGAAGCAAAGGCTCAAGTGGGTGAAATTCAGTAGCAAAAAGGAAAGGGAGATGGAAAGAACAAAGCTCGAGAAGGAACGAAGGCGGCTCGAAAACGAAAAAATGATGCTGCTTGTCAGGTAGAAGAAGCTGGAATTGGTTGATCTTTATCAGCCTCAGTCTCTGCCTCATCCTCAGGAGAGATCCATCTAACATATCTGGATGAAAAAGGGGTCATATTAGATAGAGATTTTAGAGGTTTAGATCAGATATAGATACTAATCAAATATTGTTCTGCATTTCTTATGAAAATCTATGTTTTCAAACATGAATACTTTGTTTGAATTATTGTTTCCATTTCTGCTTTGTGTCCATCGTTAATGAGGTTTTTGGCTCACATTTCAGTTGTATTTATACCCGAGCCAATCAGCTAGACTCAATCAGAACCTTGAGAGCCAATCGATTAAATTAATTGAAGTTATTTTGGTTAATATACGTAATAAATTCTAATTCGACGAGTGATTAATGTTTCTAAAATTTTGATTAATAAAAACTCAGTTAAGCTAATTATCCGTAATAAAGGCAGTGAGAATCTAAATTAGATTTCTGTTTATTTGATTGGAACTTGAGATTACAATGTTCGATTGTGTGAATACAAAATTAAAAACGAGCAACTTTTATCAAATTATCCTTATTATATTTTCTTTTTAATCAATTAAAATTTTAATATTAAATAAGAATATTTACATTAAAGTTATTAAACCATTGCCGTTACACTCTCGAGTTTATAAAATTTATATATTTAATATATAATTAATATACCAAATAATACTAAAAAATAATTAGAGGAAAAGAACCATGTAACCATCGAGTATACAATATATATATAATTAAACAACCCCCAAGATTTGGACGGACTCTTATTCCTCTTAAAGGGAAAGAACCTACTCCATCCCTAAGCTTCAAACCATAGCTTGCCATTGACTCACATCCCAAACCAAAAAGAAGAAACCACTAATCATCAATTAACCATTTTCCCATCGGCTAAACCATTTCACCTATTGTACATCAACAAAGAGAACCCAAACTGGTCTTAAAACAATATCAAGCCGACAATGTTCTACCTTCCATTTGCATCTTCAAATATATGCATATATAAATGAAATCAAGTCCTTCAAATCATTTGGAACTAATATGGGATCATGTTCATGCCATTTCAGGTGGGCTATTGTAAAGGTCCGCTTATATAATATTCTTAATACAATTTCAATACCAACAACCTGGAGAATAATAACTTGTAGGTGCTGACCATTCGCCACTTTCAAAATTCAGCACCGGAAAGAATCCCACAAAAAGAAAAGAGTGGACAGAAACTGATTTCGTTTAATCTTCGAGCTCGATGATCTTCACAACAGAAGCATCTCCGACCTTCTGGCAGACAACAACTCGATCATGTGACTTTATAATTCCTGAAGCCTTCCCATAGTCGAGAGCAACCTTCAAAACTGACTCATTAGTTGCGCTTGTAGACTCCGCCTGCAAAACAAAGTAGAATCAACACAAGTTCCCAAAGTCAATCCAAGTCTAGAAATGCAGAAGTTTCTTTCAGGGTTGTAGACAGTAGACTGCAGTTACTAACATATAAAAGCAGGGATGCTTACCGCATGTCGTGGATCAGCCAGCATAGGGAACAGACCTCGGACTATGAGGGATTGCCTTGCCTGTAAGGATTTGCCAAAAAAAATAATATAATCTAGGATTGACACATGCTTAAGATATGAAAAGCATTCCATCAACATACACTTCCAGAAATTAACTATCAATATAAATTAAAAGTTAAGAAATATTCCGACTTCTAAGACTTCAGTGACAGGGTTATACCACAAAGTCTTCTTTCAGATGACTACTGCAAGGCATTATTAACTGCATCTGAAAAACTGGCAGCTGTTACCAATGGTTTCATAGTAATTTAAATTGCTTTTAGAACGAGAGGGGTTTTTCATTTTAGTGTAAGAATAAATCATCAACACATAAATTTTAGTGAAAGAACGAACTTTTAAGATGACATTCCAACAACAACAGGTAAAGTTAAACCAACCAGTCAAAGAGCTCATAATTAGGACTAGAACAAGGGAATATATTAGCTAACACTAGCACAATCAAGGATTGTGTTCACTTTTGGGGCATGTTAAGAGACTACAAGGCAAGAAATTGAATTTTAAGCAGTTCCTTGAACATTCAGGGTTCAGGGTAGATGACATTAACATACCTCAAAGGCCCCGGTGAAGGTCCACTTCAGTTGGTTAGTCTTGAGGCGAGGGATGACAACCGAGAGAACTGGCATTACTGGCCTGTACTTAGCAATCAATCTGGTACAACATGCAAAGGGAATACATTCAGAAACCGCATAAATAAATCAAGGACTGTGAATGTTGGAAGGTGAGAAAAGAAAATAAAAGAACCACTCAAATTCAGTTAAAATGATCGTATAGAAATGCTATACCTTGCAGCTCTCCCCGAGGATGTGAAACATATAATAACAGACGCCTTCACCTTAATTGCTGCTCGTACCTAAACAGGAAATTCAAGGGATCAGAAACACTTTTACAGATGCATACTTGAATTACCAATAATTTGAGTGGTAAAGTCCACTACATTACAAAGATAAAAACATGCAATCATAACAGCATAAATAGGATGAATAACTACCGCGGAGGAAGCAATGGATTCCAAGTGGGTCATTGGCTCTCCAACATATTTGACTGTTTTCTTGAAATACAAGTCTTGGTTGAATACCTTCTCTGCCTGTTAAATTTATAATAAAATCTCAGATAAAAATGCTTAGAAAATGGAACAGTAATAAATATTCATATTTTTACTTTTTAATTAAACAGTGCATGAACAATAAGTGATCCATCTCATTGACATGCATGGCAAGTTAATGGATACTTGATGTAATAACCAACAATAAAAATAAAGCCTCCGAATCCAAAAGAAAAGTTGACACGTAAATTCTGCATTTTTTGCATAAAAAGTGCATCCAGCGCACAGGATTTTGATTGCAATGATAAAAAGTTAAATTGTAGAATGTTTTGGAAGTCATTTCATGTTGGGTTTTCTTAGTTGAAAAGGCAAGAAAAAACATACAAGTTCAGAACAGATAATGAATACTCTCATACAAATGTATAAGCCCCAACGAGGCAGCAGTAGGTTAAAAATGCAGTCCCGTTAGTGGCTCTCGTGTGTCAAAACCATATTAAGTCTATATAGAGTCTCTCGAAGGGTATCAAGGACATCGATCTCCTAACTGGGAGCTACTTGTGTCAAAAGATTCAACCATGCACATATACAAGATATAAAGGGAATCTACCTCTGCACAAATCCTGCCAACAGTAGAAATGGTTTCGACAGGGTACAATCCACGCAGGGTCTCAGCACCAAGAAGAATAGCATCACTTCCTGCAGCAATGAAACTGGGTCACTTAAAAACTAGGTAGCAAGTCTTGTACAGCGCTGGTGGGTTATCATTTTTTTTGAAGGGTGTGGAGAAAACATTAAATAAGAGAAACAGATTTATGCCTCGACGGAAATAATATCGGTTAGAAATTCAACAAAAAAGAGAGAATTTTTATGCATAAAAGATCATCACATATATCATGCAATCATAAATAATTTGAAGGATATATCAACCAAAAAAGAGTCCAAAGAGCAAATGTCCACAACAAAGCATAGTAATATACCATCAAGAACAGCATTGGCAACATCAGTTGCCTCAGCACGAGTTGGCCTTAAGTTGTCAGTCATACTGTCCACAACACGAGTGACCACTGCAGGCTTTCCGGCCATGTTACACTTATAAAGGGCAGCCTTTTGAAATAAGAACACCTGCAAGGAAAAAAGAAGTCGATTAGCCGGAAGCTCTAACGGATAGCCATAAAGGCACATATCCACACATCAAATCAAATTACACAGTTAAAGCCAGGACAAAGAATCCAAGGCTAGCTGCTAATAAGCATTTACGGCGAACTGAAGTTATACATGATAGAACAGACTATACATTCTATTCAATGACGAACATTTTGCAGAAAAACTAACACATCATATCCCCTTTGCAGATTGGATCTCTGCTATTTATATAGATGAATTGCATACTTTATATATGAGTGGAAAATCATTGCTAGTTCAATTTAAGAAACATACCTTCTCAGGTGGGAGATCAATGCCCAAATTTCCACGAGAAAGGATAATACCATCTGCTTCTTGCAGGATCTCATCAAAATGATTTAAGCCCTAAAATTTTAAAATAATATCACATTCTTATTCACAAATTCTGTAACCAAAACCTATATATTCATCGTTCTCAGTAAACACATGAAATGCACCTCTATGTTCTCAATCTTAGCAAGAATTTGTGTCTGAGAGAGGTCACCCAGCTTTGAAAGGAACTCGCGAGCCTACAAAGAGCATACAAGAGCAATCAGAGAACTGCAAAACTTTCAAAATACCAAAGGGATATGCAAAAGTGATACTTACGTGACGAACATCTTCTGCATGTCGTGTGTATGATAGAGAGAGGAAGTCGATTTTGTTTTGAACTCCCCAAGAGCTTATAACCTGAAGTGGGTATAACCAGGTCAGAAAAGGAATTCATGCAACAACCTACAACTTACTATGAGACTAATTTCCTTCTCCATTACTTGTTAAATGGGAATAATATCAAGGGCGTCTTACCTCCTTGTCTTTATCAGAGAGGGTAGGCAACTCAATACGAATTTGAGAGGCATGCAAAGTGAACAATGCGCCAGTTAATGTAGCAGTATTCTTTATCACACAAACCACATCATTTCCTTGTACCTCACTAACCTGCGCAATTTGATTCACAGTTCATGCAATTGACGATGTAAAGGAATTCTAATTGTAAATTTCAAATTCCCTAATTGCCACCAATCAACTAATAGGTAGTACAATAACAGCAAAAGAGACTAAAATAAATGCAAACAGAAAGATGAACTCGCATAGTCATATTTTTAGTCCCTCTTTCCTTACCTCTAGCCATACAGATGTGGTTTCACTCCCAGTAAACAGGTACTGACCAATAAAAATAGTGTCTCCCTTCTTCACTGCCTGCAAAAACCAGATTGACAGGGCTAAATAAATGAAACTAGATTATCAATATCAAGAATCTATAGGCATTACACTAGCCAAAATAAGCCGCCCAACTTCTTATCAAGAATCTATGAACACATTGTGCTTTTAG